TGACTCAAATCCACGGAGCAGCGTGCAGCACTGCCTGGCAAAGGGAGGCGAAAATTTCTGACAATAAAAAAAAAACTCGAATGAGTTGTTCATCTTTAATCGGCAGCAAATTAAACTTTTGAATTTATTTGAAAATGACTGGAGGTTAACGTATGCGGCTCGGGCACGTACTGTTCGGCATGACAAAGAAACAGCAAAAAAAAAAAAAAAAAATGCATAGTTGCATTACGGGGGTCAGTAATTTGCATTCCTAGGCAGCCAATAACTGGATCTATCCGAAAGTGTCCAGCAAGCAGCTAACAAATGGGGCCCGTGAACATCCCCTCCCCCCTCTCCGCCTCCTCTATTGTGTACTGAGAGATAAATGTGAAAAGCCTACCTGTAAGCAGCAGGCATACTGCCTTGCGCCCATAATATCGGTGAGCGTATTGGCGAAAAAGCGCACCGGCCGCATTTCCGTAGAAAGCGCCCAGCCCTGAGGCTGCGAGAACTGAAACACTGAGCATTGGAATTTGCTTGAGAACTTAGCAGTTAGAGCAATCCGGTGCTAGCAAATCGCTTTTAGGTAATTATTTCGCTCCTACTATCACAATAGTACCATAAACAGTCACCGTGATGAGGCTGAGGAGGCGAACTGCGTTTACGGGCAATGAGATTTAAGATGCACTTAAAAGATCGCCATGGGGGGATTTCAACAAGGAACATGGGCGAGGGAAGGAAGATGGATAACAGTACGTTGGTAAATGTGTGGCACTGGTAGGAAGTGATAGGTTAGCAACAATGGCGTAGTCGAATAAACTGTCTGCTGGTGCTGCTCGGTTCCGAAACGATACTGAACAGAAATGGGATGGCTTATGCCAAATGCAGCAAAGGAAAATGAATAAAAATTAAGCCTCAATCACCAGAAGCAAGAAAAGCCGACTGTAGCGTCCAGGGTTGACCTTGGATGCCGAAGTGTCGAAGGCGCACTGGATACAGGAAGCAGGAACAGTATGAGGAAAAGAGGCAAGAATGAGATAAGACGTTTCGGTCCACGTCTGAACTCAACACTGCGCGACAGGACCTCGTCAGTATGACGGTCGCAGTGTTTCATGGAAAAGGAAAAGAGAAAGAGACAGAGGCGCAAGGAAGGAAAGGGACGGGCTGAAAGGTTGCAGTAACAGCTGATTTTATTATGCGTTTTGTGCTGTGTAACAGCAGTACAAAACGCATATTGTTACGGGGTTGTCT